GGTCCACAGAGAGGCTTCTTCTGAGTTGGGAAGGGCACCCAAGACGGGAGGCCACCAACCTTTTTCTCTTCTTAGAGGCCCTAGGGCCTGCATCATACCTCTTTGGATGCTCTGTTGTAAGGCCAGTTGTCCCCTATTCCCTATGGCACTGGGTCTATGGCAGGAAGGGCCAGTGCCCTGGCAAACCCTGGTTTTATCTCTGGGGCTTCTGGCACCCCCTCCTAGCTAGCCTTCCAGGAAGGTCCCAGCATGCTCAGGGTGGGGAGGAGGGGGGTGGGGTTGGTGAAGTATACCTGACATAGGACAACAGACATCTTCCTTGGGTCCAGCTGGAAGTCACCTGGGAAGGTGCTTTTCCTTGGTGGATTCTAAGATACTTGGAGGAGATGGGCCAAGGATGGGACCCAGGGATATACAGGCAAACACAGCTTCTCAGAAAAGGCAGATTTTATTCCAGTGTTGTTGGGGAAAGGGAACGTTTTAAACAGCTATTTTAAAAACTGATTAATCTCCTTCACCAGAGAAGTATAAACTAGCTGCAGGTCATGCCGGGGCCACTAAACTTGCCAGAGTTACAGCAGGTGACAGACGGGGCCCTGCTCAGGCCTTCTCACCGTTCCGCTGGGACATACGCGTCTCCGGGGGGGCCCGGTGGAACCACTCATACCAGGAGCCGTCATAGACAGCTACATCAGGCTTGCCGCAGAGGTAGGCGGCCAGGGCAATGTGGCAGGCGGTGACACCCTTTCGGCAGGTGGCAATGAGGGGCTGCTGGAGGTCCACCTTCTTGGCCTCAAACATGGCACGGAGCTCCTCAGGACTCTTCTCAAAGCCTTCTTCCGTCAGGAAGTTCATGAATGGCATGTTGATGGCGCCACGGATGTGCCCTGAGTCCAGTCCTGGGGTAAGGGCAGAGGACACAGGGAAGGACAGGGTTAGAGACAGTGTGCAAGGGGTCGAGTGGCACCTGGAGGCTGCAACCAGCAAGGTTTTAAGGATAGAGAGTTTTGCAAATAGAAATAACCTCTTCATCCTGTCCAGTATTCAATCTATCCCCAGCCCTACCTACATTCAATGCTTATGACTTGAGACACTTAACTCCCAAAAAAATCTGTTTGAAGTAGGAATGGCTGCAGGAAATAGGACTATGAGTCTCACCTCCACCATTTATTAGCTGTTTGCCTTGGGGAAACATTTCTCTGAACCTCAGTTTTCCCAGCTGTAAAAGGACTCAGTGGTACATACCTACCCCATGGGGTTGCTGATAAGAGCAAATGAGATGAAAATGCCACCTGTTGGGGCAGTTGCTGCGGGCACAGTGCTGAGAGGGAGAGACACATCGCAGGCCTTCAGGTTACAGTCTAACAAGGACGATAGATGTTAAACCACAGGATTCATTAAATATGATAACACCCCAGTTATAGGGGAGCTCTGGTAGCGTAGTGCCTAAGGCATTTGACTGCTAATCAGAAGGCTGGTGGTTCAAACCCACCAGCCACTCCTTGGAAGGAAGATGGGGCAATCTACTTCCGTAGTGATAGTGCCTCGGAAACCCAAGGAGGGGTCACTATGAGTCGGATCCGACTTGATGGCAGTGGGCTTGTGGGCCAGTTTACAGGCTTGTGAAATGGTTCACCTAGGGCTACACAGAATTAAAGGCAGGCCCAGGATTGCACCGGGTCCCCCTCATTTCCCAGTTACACACATGATTGTGGAAAGAGTATGTGGGTTGTGTTAGAGGTAAATTCAAATCCCAGCTCTATCACTTACCTGCTGGTGGCCTTAAGCAACTTATATCATTTCTTTGAGCCTCAGTTTACCCATAAGAAGGAGCCATGGTGGCACAGGGATTAAGGGCTTGGCTGCTCCCGGAAAGGTGAGCAGTTCAAACCTGCCAGACGCTCCAAGGGGGAAAAAATGTGGCCATCTACTTCTGTAAAGATTACAGCCTTGGAAACCTTATGGTGCAGTTCTACTCTGTCCTATAGGGTCGCTGAGAGTCAGAATTGACTTGACGGCAGTGGGTTTGGTTAATGGGGGTTTTCCCCATGGGTACAATGGGAATGAGGGTACCTCCTGTGTGTGGGCTACAATGGGGAGCATATAGCACATGGAAACACTGGCTGCAGCAGAAAGTGTGTTTAAAAACAGTTGTCATCAAGTCAGTTTCAACTCATGGTGATCCCATGTGAATCAGAGCAGACCTGCACTCCACAGGTTTTCAAGATCGTGACCAATGGGAAACACATTCCAGGCATGTCTTCTCCAACAACTCTGGGTGGGTATGGACAGCCAACCTTCCAGTTAGTAGTCAAACGTTCAACTGTCTGTGCCATCCAGGGACTCCATGGAAGACGTGCAGATGCTCAATAAACATTAGGGATCCCTGGGTGGTGCAAACCTTTAGCATGCTCACCTGTTAAGGTTGCAGGTTCAAGTCTATCCAGAGGCACCTCAGAAGAAAGGTCTGGAGTTCTATATTCAGAAACTCAGCCGCTGAATTCCCTACGAAGCACAGTTCTACTCTGACGCTTGGGTCATTGTGAATAGGAACTGACTTGAAGGCAACTGGTTTACCGCCTACCTGTAGATGGTGTTGCTCCTATCACTTCACCATATGCGGGTGGGGGGGGGAGCAGTGTGGTCCCATCAGACACATCCTAGAGCTGCTGGGTACTAGATAGAAGCAGAGTGAGGGTCCAGGCTGGCTTCCTGGGTCTTTTCCAGAATTGTCTCTGCTCCCAGTGTGGCTCCTCTGCCACGTCCAGTCACAGAACAGCACAGAAAGTAAAGCAAAGGGGACCAGGCCACAACCAATGCTGGAGGCCAGGCCTTGGTCCAGCCCCCAGCATGCCCCAGGATGCTCCCATCTTCCTCAAGCACCCCACACCTCGGAAGGCTTCAAGCACTGAGAGTAGGGCTGATATCCAGGTGATCGCAACTCAACGATGACACTATGTGCATCAGAGCAGAACTGTGCTCCATAAGATTTTCAATGGTTGACTTTGGGGAAGTAGATTGCCAGGTCTTTCTTCTGCATTGCCTCTGGTGGACCTGAACCACCAATCTTTTGGTCAGCAGCCAAGCGTGTTAACTGTTTGCACCACCCCAGTCTCCAAGAGTAGGCAGGAGTCAATGTTTTGTTTTGTTTGTTTGTTTGTTTGTTTTGGCTCCCCTTTATCAAAGAGAAATAGACAGCTGAGAGCTTGCTTTGATTTTGGAATTTCCTGACTCAGGAAACCAAATATTCACTCTAAAAAAATTCTTGACCAAATTAATCCTGCCAGTGGATTTTCTTATACCCAAAGTTGCATATCCTTTCTTTCCTGCTTGAAGCCTGGCTTGCTGAGTTTGAATTTCAAAAGATGTGCCTGAAGGGCCCAACAAAGATGCAACAATTGGTCTCTCCTCTTCAGGAGCAAAGAAGAATGAAGATCATGAAAGACGCATGGAAACAATTAGTCCAAGGGACTAGTGGACCATACACACCTTAGCCTATATGACCCTGAGACCAGAAGAACTAGATGGTGCCCAGCTACCCCTGTCAACCACCCAGAAAGGGATCAATGCAGGAGATCCTGCATAGAGTGGGAGAAAAATGTGGAACAAAACTCAAAGTCATAAAAAAAAAAAAAAAGACCAGGCTTACTGGTCTGGTAGAGACTGGTGAAATCCCCAAGGCTACAGCCCCTAGTCTCTGTTTGTGGCTGGAATTGAACTGACTCCTGTGGTTTCCGGTCAAACAACAGACAGGCATGTAAGGTGAACATTTACACCAGGTAGGTACACTCCTTAGAACAATCACTCATGAGAGACCAGAAGGGCAGCATTTGCACAGGGAGATACCTCAGAGGGCAGGAATACACAGGAAAGAAGGACACTGGGAAAAGGTAACCACAGGGAGGAAGTGGGAAGAGAGCTGTTACACTGTGGGGATTGCAGTCGATGTCATGAAACAAAATGTGTACGAACTGCTGTGTGGAAAATGAATTTGCTCTGTAAACTTTGACCCAAATCACAATTTAAAAACTAAACAGCTATGACTGAATAGAGGGCCAGAGACTGTCTAATGACCTGGTACTAGTTGATGTCAACAAAAAGGGGAGCCAAAACCTAACCCAGTGCCATCGAGTCAATTCCAACTCACAGCGACTCTACAGGACAGAGTAGAACTGGCCCAGAGGGTTTCCAAGGCTATAACCACTACAGAAGCAAACTGCCTCGTCTTTCTCCTGCAGAGAAACTGGTGGGCTCGAACCGATGACCTTTTGGTTAGCAGCCAAATGTTTTAACCACTCGCCATCAGAGCTCCTTAAAAGGAAGAGGGTAAGGTTCAATTATGTTATGAATAGACAGGCTTACAAGGTGAAAAATTACACCAGGGCGGTGCACTCCTTAAAACGATCAACAACAGAAGATCAGAAGGGCGGCACTAGTGCAAGCAGAAAGCACAGAAGGCGCGGACGTGCAGGAAGGACACAGGGAAAAGGTAACCACAGGGAGGAAGTGAGAAGAGAACTGTTACATTAAGGGGATTTCAGTTAATGTCACAAACCAAAATGAATGAATTTACTCTCTAAACCCCAATCACAAAAAGTTTAAAACATAAAAAAAAAAAA